AAAAGTAAAAAAAAAGAATAGCCACATCAAATGGAACCTCTAGTTTTAGATTTTTCAGGAATCTCCACACTGATTTCCCAGTGGCTGCACCAGTCTACACTCCCACCAACAGTGAAGAAAGGTTTCTTTTCCCCCACAGCCCCTCCAGCATTTGTTTTTTGGTTGATTTCTTGATAGCAGCCACTCTTTCTGGAGTGACATAGAATCTCAGAGTTGTTTTAATTTACATCTCTCCAATGACCAATGATGTTGAACATTTTTTCATATATTTATTTGCTGTTTCTATTTCTTCACCTGAGAAGTATCATTTCATTTCAGGTGCTCAAATTTGGATTGGGTCTTTAAATTTGGGGGATCTGATTTTTTTGAGTTCTTTATATATTCTAGATAATAGCCCTTTGTCTGATGAATAACTGGTAAAAAAAAAATTTTCCCACTCTGTGGGTTGTCTCTTCACTCTGTTTGTGGTTTCTCTTGCTGTGCAAAATCTTTTTAATAAGATGAGGTCCCGGTTGTTGATTCTTTGTAGTATTTCCCGTGCGGTCTGGGTTTTGTTCATGAAGTCTTTGCCTATTCCTGTTTCCTCAAGCGTTCTACCTATTCTCTCTTCCAGCAGACTTAGTGTTTCTGTTTTAATATTTATAACTTTGATCTGTTTCAATTTTAGTTAGTGAAAGATATGCGTCTAGTTTCAATCTTCAGCATTTGAAAAGCCAGTTTTTCTACATTTCTTCTTTTAAAATATTTTTCTCAGGTATTTTGTCACGGGGACAGGAAGCTGACTAACACATAAGATGAATTTTAAATTGCCCTTAGTTTCTATTTACATTAGGGCACCTATTTCTTACTAACTTACCAACACCCACCATTTGTTTTATGAGTAATTAATAGTGATATACAAATGCTGTCACCTCCCCCCGGAGGCAGCACAGTATGTGGTAGGTGGAGTTCAGTGGAGCAACTTCCAGGCCAGGAGCAAAGATAATCCATTCCAGGTTTTCTTTCTGCAGAGAGACCCTGCCTGGAAGGTCAATGGGAGCAAAGACTGGAGGCTGGGAGGTTGGGATCTGAGAAATCAAGCCGGAAGTCATACTGGAGGCTGGGCTAGAAAGAAGCCAGAGAATGAGTATTGGTCAGACTCCTATGGATAGAGACAAATTTGTGGGCAGAGAGCTCAAGATTATGCTTGAGCACTAAATTTTTCAGAAAAAGGGGAAGGTATACCTTCTCTCTGGAGATGCTTCACTGTAAGTCCAGTTCTCCATCTATGGGTGAGAATGACGTGATGATGGGGTGAATTCCAAAGTCACAAGCCTCTTTGCCCCTCTGACTCACAGTGGAGCTCAGCCTCCTTCTCCCGAAGTCATTCCAGGGGGTTGTGCTGGGGAGTCCCCAGGACACATTTACTCACTTGGACCTGCCCTGTCTGCCTTGTCAAGGTGACTCACCAGCCTCAGTGCCAGCTGCCGGTGACACCCTAGTCAGTCCTGCTGGGCTCTGCCTCCCAGGAGGGGAGCTCTCCACTGTGTCGGCAGGGCTCGTTAGGGGGCCTGTGAGGTCAGAGGGGAGATGGTCCTCTTCCTGATCTACATCTAGAACCTCTCAGGAATTTAGCTCCTCTTATGTCTCAATCCCAATCTCTGCTGAAGTCCAAAGCCTGTGAACTCGGACTGTGTGGGAGCAGGGGGAGGAAGACAGAGCACCAGCTCCTCCTGTGTCTTTCTACTTTATCTCTCCAGTCACTGAAGCACAAATATTGACTGGCCACTGTAGTAGATTGAATAAAAACTAATTCTGATTCTCAGCCCTCTCTGTATCTGTGCCTTTGCAGTGGGACTTTCAACTCTGCTTCCTGGAATCTGGGCTGGCCTGTGGTGGCTAACGTGGTGGTGTGTCAGTTCCAGGTCTGCACCTCAGGAAATCCCAAGCCCTTCCACTGACTCTCTGGGCTCCTCTGATGAGCTTTGGCAACAGCAAGGATAGCCTACTGACTGATGGAAAATTGCCTCAGCCTATAGTCAGCCCACATCAAGCTACCTGCCCAACACAGCCCAGATTAGCTGCCCATCCACCCAGGGGCAAAGGGCTGTGCCAATGTCCTGCTTTTACATGAATAAGTACAGCTGAAGAACCACCAGCTAACTACAGATTTGTGGATGAATAAATTCTTCGTCATTTGAAGTCACTGGGTTTTCTGTTGTTACACAGTGTCATTGAAACAAGAGATAAATGAAACAATTCTCTTTCTGTCCTCTTTCAGAAGCTGAATAAATGACTCTAATTGTCAATCTGCATTCAGCCAGGACACCCTGGTGCCCTTAAACACTCTGCAAGGGGGATAGTGATGCAAAGTGGAGGTATTTTAATCTAGCAAGTGTCCAAGCATAAAAGGAAGTCTCTGGGAAGGCGCTGGGGTGGAGTAGGGTATAGGTGCCCCACCTGCCTGTACTGGGACTGTGAAGCTTGCACTATTCCTTATGAGATAGTGGGACAGGATGGCTTTCCTAATGGAAACCAGCAAGGGAAGCCAATCTCAAAGGCAGCATAACATACAGAAAATGAAAAACATGACTGGTACAGCAAGCTGAGAGAATGTGAGACCCTTACCATCATCCTGGGCAGCAGAATTATGGGGACATTTTACAGCTTGCCAGCCCTCCTCTCAAGGCCAGCCCTGGGGACACAGTGCCCTGCTCTCTGGGTGTTGGCTGATGTCTCACCAACTCACACTGGATATCTTGACCCAGAGCTGTTCTTTGCTTTTTCAGGAAACAAACTGGATGAAAATCCAGGGCTGAGACTTCCTCCTTGGTGTGTTTGACAGGGACTGACGTACTCTTGGTCCTTTGAATCCCGGAAGTCCAGAACACACCCAGCCCTGATTGCAACGTCCAAATGCTGGAGAGTAGGTGAAAGGACAAAAGGAAAAAGCACTTGGACATGAGGGACCCACTGGCAGACTGTTCGGTGAGTAGCTCAGGGTGGTGTGTGCGCGAGGTGGATGGGGAAGGTTTATGTACTAATAGCTTTAACTTCAGAAATTTGAGACACCCAGAAAACAAACATGTTTAGACATTGGCTGTGGTACAAAATTCTGCAGTTTTCCTTTAGATCAATTTGAAACGGGCCTTTCTAAGAAATGGCAGTAGTTGCTCTCTTTCATTCTCGTTCATGGAGAAGGTTGGAGTGTGTGTATTCCATCACATTTGGATCCAGATGGTAGCTGTTGGAAAGCAGTCTTAAGGAGCACACCAACAGAGCCTCCATGGAGTGTGAAGTACATACAAAAACATGCAGTATCTGCAGCCAATTTTTGTCTCTGTGAATGAAGCCAGGGAGGAGGGTCTTTGTGTTTTCTCGTACTGTCTAGAGTCAAGGATCCCGAGCCCCGAGGGAGGAAGGACAGACTCCTCACTCTGTCCAGCCTGCGCAGGGTTTGTATTCTGGCTCACCAGCAGGGCTGTTCCCGTCCTGGGAGCAGCAAAAACAGAAGATCGGCCAGAAGTCCAAATACACTGTAAGGTTGTTAGCAACAGTAGTGGAGAGAGGATTTAGGAAATAAGAAGTAGCTAAAATGAAGGGAAGGTGTCTTTATTTCAAAGATAAAATAATCAAAGATTGTCAATATTTTGTCCTAAAAAAGAGCTGCAAAGTTAAAATTGGAGACCTTGGAAGCAAGGGATTGTAGTAATCTTTCATATATTTTACTTAAAAAGAAAGAAAAGTTAAAGAGACAGATAAATGAGGTCTGTAATAAAGCCATAAAGAAAAAGATCACCAGACAACTGTTGGTTTCCTTTCTGTTTATTCGAAGGGTAAGGAAATCACGTAAAATGAGTTCAAGAATCAGATCACATAAATGAGTTGAATTCATAAATGACTAGTAAGATTAATGACGGCAATGGGGTGGCCAGCTGTCCCTAATTCTACTTTTCTAAACACAAGAACAAGATGTACTTCATGTAAAAACAAATTCTAATTGTATTGTTGCCGGATGGTGCAGTGTCTGTTTTATAGAGTGAAACGTCCCTCTTTTTATTACCTAGATTTTAATCTTTTTTTCATTGGAATTATTGATAATTTTTTAAAGAAGCCTTTTATTATTTATTTGTTTGTTTTTCTCTCCATGAGTTTGCTTCCACAGTAGACTGGTAAACCCTCTCTTGTCTCAAATTGAGGCCTGATGATGTTTTTGAACCGTACGGGGCTTGAGTGGGATAGCCATTTGATTAATGCAGGCAAAACCCTGGCACTGATAATCCCCAAAGAAGAAAGTCAATGCCAGAAGAGTGGAATAGACAGTAGAGAGGGAAACTGAGGCCAGGTTTAATTAAGTTTTTAAAACAGAAGAAACTGAAGGTCTAACATCTTTTTTGTAGGGAGCAAAGGCTGTATTTAGATCAGCACCTGGGAAAATGTTTTCTCTAAGCAGCCCTGAGACAACCCATCACCTCCACTCTGCCTCAGTCTCCGCTCCCTGGGGTGTGGAACAGCTCCGTGTACCTTTCTGAGCCACTGTTTCAAGGACTCTTGTCCTTGTCCACGACTCTGAAGGTCATCTCTATAGGCCTATTGCTACCAAAGTTGTCTGGGAGCCAAGAGGAGGCGGATATCCTTCACCCTGGGTTTCCAGACCCTCTGAAGCCACAGAATATTTATTTATTTGCAATTGTTTCATCTCCATCAAGCATTCGAGTTGATTTCCTGATACAATCCCAGCGTATACTTGGGGAACAATACTCTATGAAGATGAGGAACTTTAGGAACATAATAAAACAAGGGAATGGATTGCAAGTGAATGCTTCACAAAACCCTGAAGTAATTATAAAAAAACCAGAAGCTTTAACCACCTGCAAATTGTCCTAGCCCGTCAGTCCCTAGGGTTGCACAGAGCAGAACTCATCACTTTATCTTGGATGTAGTTCTTACCTTGGTCAGCACCAGTGCATTATATATGGGTCTCAGTGGATGACATGAATTTAAATGGGAAAAACATCTCTATTTGCACTAATTCCTTCAATTCTGAATACAGGCAGTGAACTTCAGTACCACTAGCGGCCTCTGTGGCCATGCAACCAATAAAAAGCAGGCCTATTTTATAGGATGTTAGGGTTGCTGCAGATATCTAGAAATATTATTTATTCTCAGTCTCAGAAATTTTGGTAATTCTTAAGACTTGTTATTTAGTATGTTAATTAAAAGCACACAATATATCACAATTTTAAAATATTTTAAAATAAATAAATATTATTTAAATAAATAAATATTTATAAATAAATATCAGTACAGTTTCTTTTATAATCCTGTGGTTATCTTGTATTATACATTTAAAAGTATTATTCTAAGTAAAATAGATTTCCCCAAACTACTAAAGCAGACCCTGGTACAAAACAGTTTAAAAATTGCCTTTAGGTTAGCCTTCAACCTCAAAAAGCTGGGTCAGCATCTATTTTCAAATTATTGTCATGATGGTGGGGCAAAAATTGCCTAAATATTGTGTAAGACTTTTAACTGATCTTGAGAGTATCAACATTTATTTAAAGAATTTTTTTGTTTTCAAAAGAAAGTTCTGTTTTTACAAAGGAAAGAAACTGGCTCTGGGCCTTGATGCTTGTGAGCTTAGCTTCTAAACCAAAAATATGACAAGGGAAATCATCCTCTAGTCTGTGTCCAAGGAAATAAGCAGGATCCAATTACATGCAGATGAAAGACTCCAATTATGGGAAGGGAGGGAGGGAGAGAGGTGGGGGGGGAGACAGACAGGGAGAAAGAGAGAGAGAGAGAGAGAGACAGGGAGAGAGAGAAAGAGAAAGAAAGAAGAAGGAGGAGGAAGAGAAGGAGGAGGGACAAGGAGAAGGAGGTGGAGAGGAGGAAGAAAAAATGGAAGGAAGGAAGCCTGGAAGGGAGGGAGGGAAGAAAGGAAGAAGGAAGGGAAAGGATAGGCGAGGCAAGGCAAAGCACACTCTTTCGTGAAACATCACCACAGAAGCCAGTGGGGAGTAAGGCGCTGTGGCCAAGTTCTTGTTTTTTTTACATTCTTTCAGTAACCAGGTAGGGACCCGTCAAAGGAAACCTCTGGTCTCCACACAGCCCTTCTCTCGTGGAATCAGCTCTTGAAATATCACCAGGCTGCTCCTCAGGTTGTGACCTGGTTCACGTGCCAACCTGGCTTCCCATCTTGACATTTCAGCCTGGTCAGCTGATGTGACTGGCACTAGCTCAGAAGATGCCATGCAATGGCCCCAGAGGGATTCTGATCCGCTGCAGAGACAAAGAAGGCAGGCTCAGCTTGGCGTGGCTGTCTTGTGGCTCACAGCCTTCCCAGGGTGCATGAATGAGCAGTGTCCCATGCCATGTGTCTTAGACCTCGGTTTTCTCATCTATAAAATGAGAGGAAGACAGAATGCAGTTGTCTATGTTCTTCAGCGTTCCCTATCTCATGATCTATAACAGCCTGCCACAGAGATTCCAAACATCTCACAGATGACAAATGAATACTGCTAACTCTTTACTTAGGAATGGTGCTTTGAAATACCACTTCCTATGAATCAGAATTCACATGAAATCAGTAGCATTGTGCCTGGCATAGGAAGAGCATCCAGCAACAGCTTACTTAAGCTTAAATGGGATCCCATGCCCTCTTTAACACTCTGAGGATTACTATTATCCAAAAACAGTTTCCATCCTAGCATCCTAGCAGTTAGAATAAAAACAGATTTTTCTGAAATAACTGGATTTAACCTTCTTGATCACTGAAACTGGAAAGTCAGAAAGAGCAGCTATGCTATTTATATTGATTATAAGTCATCTAAGTCATTTTGTGTGCTCATTTGCCTAGATTACTGGGGTGTTTTTTTTTTTATAATGACAGTATTTATACAACAAAATTTGCTTACAAGTGCTGGGCACAAACTTTTTCCTCTTGGCTGAATAGGAAATGTCTGTGTAGCTCAGTTGTCTATGTGAAGGAATCTTTAAGGGACTCAGCGAAGTCCCACATAGTCTTCTACCAGCCTGAAATTTTCCTTTGTAAGGGGAAAAAACTCACCACGTTTTCCTGGTAACTAATGGTCCTGGGAAGATCCAGCATGTTTATATAAATTCATATGGAGTTGTAAAATCAATATTAGATTTTTTTTTCCCGGAATGAGTGTTTGGCAAGGGATGAGATATTTAAAAGGTGAATGTATAGGAAAAGAACACCAGGGTAAGATTCTATCTCAAAACACCAAAAAAGAAAAAGAGAAAGAAAGAAAAAGAAAAAGAGGAGAAAGGAAAGGAAAAGAAGAAGAGAAGGAACAAGAGGAGGAAGAAGTAAAACAGTTATATCTGTTCTGCTCGTTACAGGTTATGGGCGCTCTGAGTAAAATTAGCATGCTTATACTGAGTAGCCATTCATAACAGTATTTGCTTCTGATAGATTCTCTAACTGATTCACTTACCTAACATTTCTAGTCACATTTCTGTCTCTAGCTAATGAGGTTATTGTCAACAATTTGGGCCTAATAAGGAGATTGAATTTTAGTGATTCCCAAATTGTGTTCCACAGAGCCTTTTCAGAGTCCTCTCTGGTTGATCCATGTGGGGAGAAAAGGAGGTGAGATAGGAACAGGGGAGCCAAAGTCAAGATACTGCATCCCCTCACAGCAGATAGGGTCCAGGGCCAGGGATTTAGCTCAGTGGTTTTGCCACCTGCTGCGCAAGAGCAAGGACCCGAGTTCGATCCCCGGTATCCAAAAAAAAAAAAAAAAGCAGATATGGTCCAGGATTTTCTGATCACACACGGACGCATACACATGTATATACACATATGAATGCATACACACACATAGAAACACACACACACTGGGACTGCTTTGGCATTTATGTAACTCTGCTTTTCGGTTTCCATTGTCAACTCTGAGTAGCTAGTACATAATAAAAGGTCTAGAACCATTGACTCTAAATAAGGAATTATGCTGAGATAATGAAATATTCTTAGCAACTCTTTTTATTTATTGATGTCACCCTTATCTCTATCTTGATCAGGTTTTTTCTAGGGACTTCCTAGCACATTGTACATAGGGTCAAAGAGAAACATTCTCTCTACTGCTTTTACAAGCAGGATAGCTCTTATCTGATCACAGAATTAATAACAACGTCATGCATTGAAAAACTTCCTGGGTTCTGTGTGCCTGGGCACCAGGAATTCTGGAACAGGTGGATTATAGGTGGAAGCCATAAAGGACACACTGAGCAGCCTCTTCCTCTTAAGAAGTAGAACTTGAGGGCCGGTGATTTAGCTCAGTGGTTTTTCTGCCTGCTGTGCAAGCGCAAGGACCTGAGTGCAATCACCAGTACCAAAAAAAAAAAAAAAAAGAAGTAGAACTTGAATGCCGTGGGGAGACGGGCACCCCGCTTTGCCATAGGCTCCTCCACTGTGCCGAAGGCAATTGAGTTTTCAATCACTGATTTGTAAGCATTCTGGGAGGTCTGGCATCCTAACACCAGTCCTCTGGAGACAGTATAAAACCTGTGTCTTTGGGAGATTTGATGGATTGATAAATTTGGCGCATGCAGGATACCCTGCAGCCCATTGTAGAAACATTCTCAACTGGTTGTATCCATTTGTACTTTGGAAGTAGGCGAGGTCTTTCCTACATGCCCCATCCTCAGTCTGCTCTCCATGGCCCCCTTTCCTCTCCCCAGGGCTGCTGTGTGTGTGCGAGCTGACGGCAGATGCTGTGGGGCTGGCAGGAACCTGCCCTTAGGATGTTTAATCTCAGAGCTCCTTCCTTCCACACTAGGTTCTCCTGGCACGGAGGTTCCTTTCCCTACTCTCCCCAGGAAGATGACAAGTCCCCCTGATCTCTGTTTTCTCCTGGGCCCAGCCCCAGCCTTCTGTAGTGTTTCAGAGCAGAAAAACTCACTCGACAAGCAAGCATCCAGATCTTTCACTCATGCCCATGATTCCTTTGTTGAGTCTTTGTTTCTGTTTTACTATGAGTTGGAGAGAGAAATAGATAGGAAAATACATAAAAAACACATAGTCCTGAGGATGCAGCTCAGCGGTAGAGCACTTGCCTAGCATGCATGAGGGGAAACACTAGGGGAAAAAAGCTTAACCTCAAATAAGAAAACCACAAGACCTGTAAAGCAAATCACAAGATCTTATTAACATGAAATAAGATTTGGACAAATGAAAAGGCTTATGACATTTTTTTTATGGGAAATCTAAATACCATAAAAATCTACAGTATTTCCATATATATATGGAAATACAATTACAATCAGGATTCAAATAGAAATTTAAAAAATTATAATTAAATGAATATTCATACAAAAGAATAAATACCTCAGAATAGCCAAAGAAATCATGAAAAGAAAAGAAAATTGCTCAAAAAGAAGAACAGAAGAAACTTAATATCTCTATAACTTAAAACACATAATATGTATCATTACTTTCCATACCATTATTTTATGAAACATAAAAATGTAATTTAGAACCAAAAGTTAAGACTGTGAGTTAGAACTATGTTAGGCTGCATCGTGGAAAATCCCTCACTAAGAAAGTCTTAAATAACACCAGTGTATTTCTTTCACACTTTAATCTGTTGGACCCAGGCTCTTTCTTTCTGCTCTATGACCTTAGCTCCTGATGTCCAGTCTCAATACCACGTTATGACATTATCCATCACTTCCAAGTCCAAGAGAAGGACAGATGAAGAAGGAAACCTTCCCTGAAATCCCACCCAAAGCTTTCCCCCACATCTCTTTGGACAGCTTTTGTCACACAGCTGTGGACCTGTGGATGAAGGAGGCTGGGAAATGACTTCATTCCAGGGCTATCACAAGTCATTTCTTCTGCTGACACTGAAGTGTGTTTAGTGGGATGCTCTTAGGTGTTATGAGAAAATCAAAGGCCTTAGGTCACATGGGAGTAACAAGGAAGCTGAACAACTTTCTTTCCTGAGGGACTTCTCAACGTTTTAAAACACACCAAAACTTTTCCAGCATACCTGCAAGGGGAAGAAGAAGGCTTTCATAGTATTCTGTCACTCACAGAGGGCAAGTTAGCTTTCTTAGAAATAAAAATCACAAAGCTTGGTTGCGAAACAGTGATTTTCTTCTCCTGACTGAGAAGCATTTTCTCTTCAAGATTGAGGAACCCAACCACAAGTGTGTTTTGCCTGCCCTGCAGATGGTTATAAAATGTGTTAATTGTTTGCTACAATTTTTTAAATTCGTATTTCAGATGCAAATCCAAATTTCAGGGTTTTTTAGACAAACTGGAAGATCCGTCCTATCTAAGCCACCTTCCCATGGGGCAATGATGGGACAGAAGTCCCTGGCAGCTGCTTCTCCATCTTGTCCCACACACATTTGGGCTCCTGCCCAGTGCCTGCGGGAGCCTGACTTGGCAAACCCTGCTTTAGGAGTTAACAAATTCTTTGCGAAAGTTTTGGCACCCTCACCTCCCTCACGTCCCAGACAGTTTCAACGAAGATGTTTTCTGCTATGTATTACATCTTTCTTATCCAAAATGTGAGGCCAGAAATATTTAGGATTTGAGGTGCTTTCAGATTTGGGTATATCAGAATATGCGTAATGAGGTACCTTGGGAATGGAACCCAAGTCTATACAAAAAATTCATATGTTTCATATATACCTTGACACACAGCCTGAAGCTGGTTTTATACAATATTTTCATGGTGGTTTGACTGAGACTCATTTCATCAGGTTATGTGTGGAATTTTCCACTTGTGGCATCAGGTCATCGCTTAAAAAGTTTTGGATTTTTAAGTGTTTTGGATTTCAGATTTCAGCATAGGGGTTCTCAACCTGTAGTGCATGTCTACTAAATCCCACTATAGCTTTCCGTATTGAATTTAGAGGAAAGTTCAACTCATAAAAGGGCTTAGTGTCTGTAAGACTGTTTTTGGATTGTTCCATCCCCAGTGGTGATGGCCTTGATCAGGTCATCTCTCAAGGTCCTTCCTCCTCTCTGGACACACATCTTCTGTCTGATCCTATATGCTCAGCAGAAGGGTTCTGAGGTTAAGGGTGTTTACACAGGTGACTATGCCTGCTGCTGAAGAGGAGCTCAGAAACTGAGTTTCCTTCCCTTTCTCTGCTCAATATGGTGCTCCACTAAATACTGAGATGTCTGAGCTCTGGGAGAGGTTGGCTCATTACATGATTAAAAAGCCCATAGCATGACACTCAATCCACACAGAACTGGGCCCTCGTATGGAAGAATCTCATTTTGAAAAATGTTCTGCTGTTGCACTTCCCAGGTGAAAACTATAGGAGTGTGTGTCTGGGATGCTCTATGATCAAATTCACCTGCTCTGTGTCAGAATAAGCTGCAGAATCTGCTGACATTTGCCATCTCTCTGGGCTCTTAAAAATCTATTGCAATCAGTGTCTATATTTATAAATATATTGTTTAGAATGACATTATGGGGTTCTAAATCAAATGACAAGATCTCTATTTAAATTCTTTTGTCTGCAGGCTAAATTCATATATGAATGAATTTCTGAAGCTTTACCTATAAATTTTTTTTCAGCTGTTTGGCTTTTGATTTCCTCCCCATCAGCTCCCCGTGGATCAGCTTTGGGGGAATTGGGAGGTTTGGGGAGGCATTCTGTTGCCTTGTTTCCTCATGCTTCTTTTTTTCTTTAATGTGCTGAGGGTTAAGGGTTAATTATAGTGGAAAGACTTTGTTTCTAATATGGAGATCTCTTTAGTTAGTCTGCTTTTCAGTGATACACTCTGGGCATGGTTAACTATTGATTTTGCCTCTCTTCCAAGCTCCAGCCACCGCCATTAATTTGGGGAGGGGAGGATGCAGCACAATTGGTCCAGCATCCAATTCTCCAGACATGCACTGCAATATTGCTGATAACACAGATACTACTTACACATTTATAACGATTTGTTTAAACCAAAATTTCATAGTATTCTTATTATGAGACAAGATCAGATGAACGAAGAGGAGTAAAGCAAAAAAAAAAAAAAAAAAGAGTTGTATGAGACCCAGCAGAAGCTGGGACAAAATTTTAATAAATTATTCATTTACTTCTTTGCAGCTTGGCCAAAAAATACTCACTTTACTTTAAAAATGTGTTTGTTTGTTTATTGTAGTACTGGGGATTTACTGCAGGGCCTCCCCACCAAAATATATCCCAGCCCTTTTTTTAGTTTTAATTTTGAGACAGAATTCCACTAAATCACTAAATTGCCCAGACTGGCTCAAACATTCCCCCCAGGGTGCAGAAATCATGGGCTGGCACCACCATGCCCAGTTAAGTGCTCACTTTAATGGTTCATGGTTCGTTATAAATCCAGGAATATTGAGCAGAGTTAGTGTGGAGGTCGGGGACACAAAATGGTTATGTGGTGTCCTTTAGAATGTACTTTGACCTTCCTGAGAATAATAAAGGCAACAAAACTAGACTCCAAGTGCTACTGAATTGTTTGCATTTGGCCTAAAAGAAAAATGGATCAACTTCATTTTTGAAAAGTTCTACAGGATTTTTCATACCCAGGCAGAGGAGACTTAATCTTTATTTTAAGAACTCATCCAGGGCTGGGGATTTAGCTCAGTGGCTCTGCAACCTGCCTTGAAAGCGCAAAGTCCTGAGTTTGATCTCCAGTACCAAAACAAAAAGGAATTCATCCAAAAGTCATGCATCCCTGTAGTTTTGCAGTCACTGACAATGACAACCATTGTCACAGTATGGGAGCTCTGCCTTTGTAAGCACTCATGATCCTCCTGTTCATCTTTTTTTTCCCTCTCCAGTACAACAAGGCATACAAGAGTCTCAAGGAACTTTCTCAAAATGGAGAGAATTTCTGCAAGCAGATCACATCTGTTCTTCAACAAAGGTACAAAATGCATACTTGCAACAAACAGTTCTTTCTCTTCATTTGCAGTGAGTGATATGCCATGACTTGAGGAGTGATTACAAGCAGGCCTGCTTTCGAGAACAGCGCTGTGCTTTGGTACTTGAGAGACTGGTTTGATGAATGATTCTCTATTGCACATTTATCAGGTGGCTACCATAAAAATTAAGGAACAGGAAGGATTTCTGCTTAGGAAGGTTCAGTCGAGTCTCTTCTGATTCTTCAGACTGAGTTTAGCACACCTCCTGGGCTCCTTGGCACGTCTGATGTATACACCTGTTACTGCTCTTTTCACATTACTAGTTTACATTTTTTCTTCCCCTGCAAGGGCAGATGCTGGGTCTTAGTCATTATTATAAGCTGAGCTCTTGGAGCCTACTCTTTTGATCTGTTTGGTAAATGTCTGGGGAATGAATGGCTGGATGAACAATGAAAGATCATCATTTCCAGCACATCTTCTCTTAATGCTAGGTGTGATCATGTGCAGAACTCTTCACTGAGCTAAAATGAGCACATTTAACTCCATCAAGAAAGTAACAGCAACAAAAAATTCCAAATTAGAGAACCCAAGGAGTGAGCTGGCTCATACAGGGTCTTTTAAGCCTTTTCCTATCTCTAGACAGCTCTGTTCTAAACAACTCTAAAGATCTCTTTCAAAAGAAACTGTTTATTCTTTTAAAGCAAACTATTCCAATTTAAAATATATATATATATATATATATATACCATAAGAAAAAAATGACGCTGTGGGTCTAGTGCATTCTGCATTAGTAGGTTAAGAAAAAAGGACAACATGGTTCTCTCAGGATCAGAGGCCAAAAAAAGAAAGGGAGAGTTCAAATAGGCTTTTAGGAAGAAAAACACAGGTTTATGAAATGTAGGCGAAAAGAAAAACAGTTAAATTTGAAGTAATTTTCACCCTAACAATTCAAACCACTTTGATTCCCTGAAAAAGTGGAGAACCCATTTTGAAAGGTTTTTTTTTCCATAAGACAACTTTTTTTTATCCATCTCATATCAAATTATTTAAAATAGGACCAGTTAACCATTGTACAAATTTACTTCATTACCTAAATTAAACAGCATCACCCTCCTGGATGAGGAAGAATCTGTACCCAGATGAGATGTGCATATGATCAGGGTTCCAGTCATCCTGTCTTCATTATTTGGTGTCAAAGAACTCAAAATTAGTGCCCAGTAGAGAGCTGTGAAGAAGGAAGGCAGGGGATAAATAACGTCCACTGCTGAACACACTTAGAAGCGGTCAGAAAGGATTTGCGGGGGGGGGTCACTGCTGAAAACTACCTTTTTGTTTTTGCCTTGTGCCGATGACTCCACATGCCCACCCTGTCAAGACTCATCTACTTTCTTCATGCAGTCAGTGCCTTTGTCTCTTACTGTGTCTCTCCTGAACTCGCTTTCTAGGGTCACCATCTGCCCTGGACCTATTTATGTGAGAAACCTTCCACCGACACATTGTAGAGGAGCAAACATGTCCAGGGAGGCAGAAACGCTTGGGTAGCTGAAGGTATCTCCCTTCACGATTTTACCTCCTTATGGAGCAGAATTTTGAATTTGAAAACCTAGGGTGCAGCTGCTTAGGGAAATTACAAGCACATTTCTGGATAAAACCTGCATAATATAGATTCAAAGAATAGAACTAATGGTTTTACCTACACCAAAAAATGATGCTAGATATTAGGCTCTTTGTGTGATAGGCATTTTCCTGAACATTTTTTGTAAAGCAAGCCCGATACTAATACATCATTTCCCCTCAAACAAGATGCCACTCTTGAGTACTATAGATTGATACCTGGTAGCTGTGCACCTGCAATGTCCCCTTGTAGCTGAGCTGGCAGGGTCCTCTCCTCATTCTGCTGCTTGATTATGTAGTTAACTTGAGGGGTGTTTGTTCACATGAAAGGGGATGGTATTTGGGTAGAACTGTTTTCTAATGGACATGAACACTTCATTAATCTCTGACTATATGGCTCTTACGTATTTTCAGCTCTATTTTTGTACCTTGGGTGACAAAGTCAGAGGCTGCTTCATTTCCCAGGATCAGGTCATTTCTTTTCCAAAGGAGGGATATGATTTTGAGGTCACTGACTCAATGTAATAACTCCATCAACAGGGATAACTGGTAACACTGTAACTGATGTTATAGTCACCTTTACTCTTCCTATTCTATGAATCCAGAAAATTACTTTTCTCATCATATATAAAAGGCTGGTTCTTACCAGCTCTTCAGAAATGAGCTCAGAGCTTATTCTCTTAAATATATGGGTTTATTACAAGGACACCTTTTTCTTGTATTAGATAAATATGAGGAAAGCAGTATTTCTCATAAGAAACTATCTTGTTACTCAGATTATACGCAAGTGATGAGAAACCCCATGAGACAAATAAAATGATACTCTTAGAATACATACAATAAACATTTCCAGTGTGGGTTGTGACATGAAAAATCATGAAGGCAAGTCCAGTGGCAGCACAATGGAAGACAGAATGAAGAAGCATCTGCACATAAAATGCATTCAGTATTTATTTATAGACTGAATGAATGGATATGTAAAAGATCATTGAGGGCTTTTTGTATTATCACTATACCTGCACTATTTGAACATGATCTTTAGTGTCCTCGGAGGTTTAGATTTGCAGACATCTCTCCTGGCAGTCTGCTGGAATGTGGTTCCACTCAGCAGTTCTGCATTAGCACAGAGATGCAAGTCCAGATACTGTTTCCTTTCCCAGCCAAGCTGTCTCCTGCATTCATTCTAATTAGAGTTGAGAGAACAGTGCAGTTGTTACTGAAACACCATTTTGCCTGGATAGTCTCCAATCCATTATCATGCTTAGCTTCTTTTATCCAATTAGTCACTTCAGTTTCTCTTTTTTACAAATGCAGATTTGGCCAGGAGACACACAGCAATTCCTATAGTTCCTCATGTTAAAGTTCTCAGGTTCACGGTCACACAATTAGAGATCAGATTTAAGGAGAAAAGGCACATTCCTAGAAGCCATTTCCAAGTTTGGCTCCCTTTACCCTCCTAGCTAATACTTAAACTAACTTTTGATGGAAAAATCAATTGTTCTTCTGAAAGGAAGCTTAAGTCCAGGGTTTTAAATGGCAAGAACCACTCTCGTGACTATTTTTAAAAAGAATAAGGAAATATAGTGACCATTTGTTGCAGACATGATCCATTGACATGGTCAATAAAGGATAAGAAATCAAAATAAAATCTTCTTGTGTGTGTGACTGTGGTACTAGAGATTGAACCCAGGACCTCATATACACTAGGCAAGCATTTTGCAGCTGAGCTACTCTCCTAATTCTTTTTTTAATTTTTATTTTGAGACAAGGTCTTGATAAGTTGCCCAGGTTGGCCTCAAACTTATGATCTCCTTGCCTCAGCCTCCTGGAATAGCTGGGATTACAGTGGTGTCCAACTAGAAAGGTATGCCTGCTTTGACTCCAGTTCTCAGTCTCAAGAAAGTGCCCCCCAGTACGGTGTGTTGAGTTACCTCTGCTGCAGCTCTTCCTGCCCTACAGTTGTTCTCCATTCACTTGTCTTTTTCCCAGTTCCTTGAAAGTCTTTCTGTCCCATGTGACTAGCAAGGGCAGGGCAGCGAGCAGCCATTCCCATGAATGTGTTGTGTCTGAGTTTCTCTGTGCCTGCAGGCACTCAGAACCTTTAAGAAGTTCAAGTTAGGTGATGCCTGAGGAACAGTAAGTGCATATGCCAAAGGCATTTATTGACACAGTACTATATGTAGTGTATTATTTAGAATACACACAAGAAAAAATAAAATCACAGAAGAAACCATTTACCTAGCACAACTTATAGTCCGGGCACTGTGTTCCATGCATCTTATACATGGTGGCTTTCATCCTCACCTCCCAATGCAGCAGGCATATGCCTTTCTCCTTTCCTGATTTACAAGTAGAAACATGGAAAAAATTATACTGTCTGCTTCTCCCCCAGCCTAACCTAGGGACAGTGCAAAGGGCTCTTCCAAGGGCCAGCAGAGCCTGGTCCAGTTCCCTTCACAGACTCATCCGGCCACCAAAGGACATCAGTGGTCATCAAGCCCAGTGGCTTTCAAACCCTGTAGCTCAAGAGGTCAGTGAGGAGCCCTCTTCAGTGGCTACTTCAGGGTTGGGGTGAGCAGGAGGGTGAATGGCAGCTCTGATTTTCCTCTCTCCTTCTCCCAGTTACTCAGAGCAACTTTACTTGTATGTGTCTAACATGGTTGGGTTCAGCATAAAATTCTGGTTTCCAGCTAACAAGTTTTGCAACACTCGAACACTGGTGAGCTGACTTTCCGGCCTCCTGGTTGCAGCGCTCCCTCCCCACTCTGTGCCCTGGGGCTGCAGGCAGCTGGGGAGGAGCAGATGCCCTGAGGCATTAGCTTACAGGCTGCCTGGGCTGTGTGAGCACTGACTCAAGGATGCCCCCTCAGACTGGACATCCGAGAAGACTCTCATCCTCCCACGTTCCTTTCCTATACACTGATCCCAGGAAGCAGAATTAAGGCACTCAGAAAGATACGATGGGCCAGCCAAGAGAACCAGAGAACCGCCAACTGGAATCACAGAGCTTTGATTCAAATTGCCAATAACTGATCTTGGTTTTATTTATTTATTTTCGTGGTGCTGAGGATGAAACCCTGGCCTCACACATGCTAGGAAAGCACTCTACCACTGAGCTACACCCTGAGCCAGATTTGTTAATTTTCAATTGACACATAATAATTGTGCATATTTATGAGGTACAGTGTGCTGATTTGATACATGTACACATTATGGAATGAATAATCAGGGTGATGAGGATATTTGTTTCCTTCTACATTTATTGTATCTTTGCGGTGAGAATATCTGAAAACCTTCCTTTTATTTTGAAAAATACAGTGCCTTATTGTTAAGTATAGTCACCCTGCTGTGCAACAGAACACTGGCACTCCTGTCTACTTGTAACTGTGGACTCACTGACCAACCTCTCCCCAGCCTCCTTACACCCACCCCCAAACAATCTCTAATAAACTTAAGTACAACTATTTGTAAGATGAATTCATGACTATCTTCCAAAAGACAAACTGATAAAGCTTGAGTGGAAGATATCAATATACCCAGCCCCAAACTGGAAGCTGTTCCTGATGCATAGTAAGAGATAGAGGACAGAGGTGATAACATAATTGAGGAATTTGAGATTACTGAAATTCCTTCTTACTTCATAAAGAAAGGAGGGCTCTGTCCCTAGCTTTTGTTAAGCATGAGAAGGGCTTAGCTCAATTTTATCAGTCCTTATAGATACAGGGGAAACTACAGAGCTTTTTAAAAACTACTTTTTAATCAATTTAAGTTTGTTAACATACAATTCTCTACAATTGATTACGTAGTCACTGATACTATTTATGCAATTTAACTTGTGCTGTATCTAAAATATTGGATCTGGGGATGGGGATTTAGCTCAGTGGCTCTGCTTCTGCCTTGCAAAAGCAAGGTCTTCAGTTCTATCCCCAGTACCAAAAACAAAACAAACAGACAAAAATAAATAAAATAAAATATTGGGTCTGAAACCATATATTTTTTGTGGCTTCCTTCTTTCAAAAGTGCAATTTTAAAATCTAAGTCAAGCACAGGTTCCTGAGTTATTGGTTGGTCTTCATTACTCCCAATGAAAATATGTTGACCTGCCTTGCATACTGAGAGGAAATTAGAATATAAGTGAATTAAAAATCAGTGCATGTCATTTCCCTGGTTCTGAATCTTAGAGATTGGTTGGAATGTTGTAAGCTAGAATTACTCACCAACAGGTATAGGTTTCCCATATGCAAGACCATTGCTTGGAGAAGCTATCTTCACTCATGGTAGAAATAGTGGCTATAGAATGGAAGGGAGAAAAATGGGAAACCACTATATAATTAAGCACAGTGTAATTCCAAGCTTGTTCCTGATTATTTTAATGGGGAAAGAAAATTCCATGTCTGAATTTGAAATTAGCTGTGCCTCTCTAGATTCCTTTTTGCATGCTGTACCTTTTAGCTAGAAACCACGATAAAGTAGCTCCCTGCAAGGGACTGGGAAGAAAGCAGTCTCACTGGGGATGTGTATTGCCGCCTCTGCCTCAGGAAAACAGCAAGGTCATTTATTTCTATTCAGCAGACATCCTGAAAGAAGGCATATGTATAACTGCTTCATGAGACCACAGCACAGAAGAGCATTAAGGCAGTGTTTGTTTCCACTGATAAGCATTCCCACTTAGAAAAATGACAGCTCTCTCTACACTTGTCACTTGGACTGTGGCTTCCTACAAGAATGATTTTTCTCTAGGTTGGAAAGTAACCATGAATATCTGTTAAAGTAAAAGCCAGTGAGGGACAGAAGCCTGGGAGACTAGGTCCCACACCAGCCAGCCCACAGCACTTCATTTCTGTTCCTTCAAACTTGCACTGAGTTCCCCAAATGGTAATTAGGGCTTCAAATACCAAGAGGAGATGATTGCAGCCTCCTCTGCTTGGCTGATTCAACAAGATATGCACACCTGTGCTCCTAGCAACACAATTGGTAACAGCTGAATCTTGAACATAGATTCAAATGTTGATTCCAAAACTCTTTGTTTTTGTTTTTGTTTTCTTGTTTGGGGGCTTTGTTGTTGTTGTTGTTATTATTGTTGTTGTTCTGTGAGAAAAAGTCTCACTATGTAGTTCAGGCTGACCCTGAACTCCCTGTGTAGCCGAAGCTGACCTCAAACTCATGGTGATCCTCCTGCCTCAGCCTCCTGAGCACTGGGATGATAGGCTTGTAAAACCCTTTAGAGTCATCAATAAATTGCTGGCGGAGAGACAAAGGGCATAACTGTACTGTTCAGAAGAGCTGGATCCAACTCAGTCCAGTTCTGAAGGTGTAGGTTGCTGATACTTGATGAGTCTCCTCCCTTTTCCCTTTGCCAGACCCCCAGTCCGCACCCCAAAGTGTCCCCCAGTGGATGCCCTGGGAAGAGGCCCTGGGAGCTCCTAGTGCCTGCACAGAAGCAGCCGTAGGCTGGGTCCCTAGCTGCTGAGCTTCGGTGACTCAGAGCACTACAGTTAAAAGGCAAAGTGAGAGGCGGTGTCAGTTTTTAAAAGTACTAGTGTTTGACTTCCCCTGCACTTCATTTGCCCCCTCCTCCCCACAGTCCTAGAGGCAGGAGAGCCGTGCGGTTAGGAGGCAGGTACTCCAGCCACACAGCCCGGGCTCAAGTCCCACACTGTCACCTCCTGCTGTGTCCTTGGGTGAGTGACAGCCTAAACGCTCTGTGCCTTGATGTCCCCTCCATAAAATGGGCAGAAGAAACTGTGCCTACCTCACGGGGCTCTTGTGGATTGAGTGAGGAAATACATCTAAAGCCTTAGAACGGTGCCTGGTGTCTTGTAAGTGCCCAGTAACCGTTGGGTGCTGTTATGTTGCGTGTGGGCGGAACGCGAGCCATCAGCAACCTCACAAAACAGGTGACACATCCCGTTATCAGGAGAGCACTGTTCAGACATGTTCTTCATGTGTGGAAGACAGGACTCATTCGTCTGTGTGCCTACAAACCTGCCCTGCTCCAGACGTCCGAGTGCGTGCAGCTGAAGAGAAGCCTTCGGGTGTGCGGATGCTGGGCACACAGAGCCTCTGTGGGCTGCTTTCCTCCCTGCTCAGGAGAAAGCCTGACTTTTGGGAACAAAGGTGGCCAGACTCAAAAAGGTGCCAGATCTCAAGGGAAGAAAGCACCCTCGCCCTGTCCTGCCTCCAAAACCCAACTTCTTCCCCCCAAGTGAATCCAATTAAGTCAACACTATAAAAGGACACAACATTTCTCTCTGGTGCCTGTGCCCTTTGACTTCTACTTAGCCTCTTAGACACTTCGGGAGCCCCGAAGAACACAGTGAACTCGACATTGGAGGGAGGAAGAGGCTGGGCCTCACCCCTCCTCTGCTCCCTTAGAAGCTACTCGATTTGTTCATGGGGAAGAGAGGGATGAGGAAACTGCAGATTCTTCCCCCTGCTCTGTCCACCTGCGGATTTATAGATCCTTTGACTATTTAGGGATCCTTTAGGTACATAATATTATGAGAAGAATTAATATTTGCTAGGAATGCATTTTGTGGCCAGCACTGTGAACTTAGAGCTGTGAATTTAACACTGTAAATTCATTATTTTCAATGCTCAGTGTGCTGCATTCGAGAAAGAGTAGAAAGCTCCAGAAGTCCAACAAAGCCCTCTGGCTGCAGTAGACTGGGAAAAGGTTTATGTGTCTAGTGTTCCAAATGCTAGAAAGCAGTGTACTCTGACATGTAGCTGTGCCCAGCTTATACTGGTGGGAATGCATCAAAATAGCTTGTCAGTTTAGTTTTCAAGTGGTGAGGCAAGAATGAGCTTGCAAACTGGGCATGGTGGTGCATGCCTGTAATACCGGCTACTCAGGAGGCCGAGGCAGGAGGATCGCAAGTTCAAGGCCAGCCTGGGGAATTTAACAAGACTTTGTCTCAAAATAAAATTTAAAAAGAGCTAGGGATGTAGCTCAGTGGTAGAGTGCTTAGCTAGCATGCACAAGTCCCAGCACTGCAAAACAAGCGAAAAGAAGAGACGAGCAGAGAACAATAAGAATTGTAACCCAGAACCGGTGTGAACTCTGTTCACTCATTCATTCATTCAGTCATTCATGTCATTCCTACTGAGTAGCTATTATGCACCATGTAACATTCTTGGCCTAGGAATTCGGCAGTGAACAAAGCATTCTATGGGTGTTCACAGGAGTTCACTAAAAAAATTCTAATGTGACATAAGGTAGTGATAAGGGCCAGGTCACAAGTAAAGAGCTGTGAGGGAATAGTGACAGGATCTTCTTCTAGAAAGCATGGCCTCTGAGGAGGTGACATTTAAACATGATGTGTTGGAGATCACAGGAAGGAGAATAACACGTGGTTACATAGCAGAGTGCTCAGCAGAGGCACGGCAAGTGCAAAAGGCTCTGAGGCAGGATGGCAGTTGGCCATTGAGCAAGAGCAGGATGAGCAAAGGGGTGACTGGTAGGAGAGGGGAAATCAGAAAGAGAGCAGGGATCCAGTGACACAGAGGCTTGCAGGTCAACAGTAATTGTTCCAGTCACTGAGCTCCTATTAGGTGTGGGTTATTACCACAATTTAATCCTCATAAAACTCCTAGAGGTAGTCCCAGGTATTCCTTTTCAACGTTGTTTGAAGCCACTTCACCAAGTAGAGATCTCGCAGGATTCTACATCACCTGGGGTGACCTCTTCCAGCTTGCTATTAACCATCTCTCCTCTCCCCCTCAAATGGTGCATATTCCTACAATAAAGAAATCTATTTTTAAGTATAAGGAGATATTTTTAAAATAGTGACCTTAACCTTTCCTTATTCTTGGGTAAGTTCTGATATCAAATAGCTGTTTTCTGCTCCTAGGCCTTAACATTTTAACGTGTGTCCTACAGTGATCTACTTTCTTTCAAAAATGTGATAAAAAATAACTGAAAGCTCAGCTGTACTAACAGGAAAAATGAACCGAGATTTAGCAATAGATCAATATCCTGTGACCATTTATAAAAGAGCAGTCTGTCTTTATTTAGTCTATAACACCGAATACAATTTGTGTGAAAACATGCAGGTATCAGGTTAATTACTGTAGCATCCAGAAATTGTTTCCCAGATGAAATGAAGTCAGAAATAATTTTAAAGATTTAATAAACATAGAAGTAAAATATTGAAAAATAAGCAACCACACCACCTGTGGTCCATATAAGAATGAAAATATACATCGAACTTAATTTCCTACTTTTTCATTATCTGCCGCCAAAAGTGAGATAGGTCATGTTCTCATTGGAGCTACAGATGGACCTAAAAGTAGGACACAGTAGAATCATTTTAAGAGAGTGATTCAGTCTATCCAAAGAGCCAAGGAGGGCATGCCCAGACTTCCTGCGGAGTCTCAGCCTGCACAGAAAGTAGTGCAAGTTCATTTTTAAAATCTGATGTTGGCCACCTCCCCCACTTCCCACTGGGAAGCTCCCACTCGGCTGGGATTGTGGCTCAGGGTAAAGCACTTGTCTAGTACCAGGAGGCCCCCGGTTTAGTCCTCGGAACCCTAAGAGCAAGCAAATAAAATAAACAAAGCAGACAAACCAAAATCAAAGAAAGTCACTACTTGGTTAATTCAACTAGAAGTTATCATTTATTTTATTTTTTTATATTAATTTTATTGGTACATTTTGGGTATACAATATAATGACATTCATCACTGGAAATTTGCACCTTTACATAATCTCTCTTGGTTCTTGTTTTTCCCCCTTTCCCTGACCTCCCTTCAACCCCTCCATCCCTTCCTATCTACAAAGACTTTGTTTCCATTTTTTTCTTTTTCTCATATTAATTCCATTCCCTCCTTTCCTTTCCCCTACCCCTCCCACTAGAAGTTATCATTCAATTGTCAGTTATTATTATCTAGAGCTAACCTGCTTAGTGGTAATTCTGTTCCTTACTAGTTATGTTAGTTTTCAAGGCCTGCCAGCATAACAAAGTGCCCAGACTGGGTGGCCTGAACAACAAAAATGTATGGTCTCTCAATTCCAGAGATTAGAAGTCTGAGGTCCAGGTGTCCACCTGCCTGGCTCCTTCTGGGGCCTGTGAGGGGGAATCTGACTCCTGGCTCTCTCCCAGCATCTGGTGGTTTGCTGAGAACTTCCACACTCTTCAGCTTATAGATCCATCCCCCTTCTCTGCCTTCATCCTCGCATGGTGTCTCCCAGTGTGCACGGCTTCTCTGTGTCCAAATCCCCCCTTTTACAAGGACATCGGCATTGGGTCCAGGCCCACCCAAATGGCCTCATCATAACCAGATCACCGCCTTCAAGGACCCTATTTCAAATAAAGTCACATACACAGACCCTGAGGGTCAGGGCATCTTTTTGAGAAACAGAATTCAACCTGTAACACTAGTGTGAAAGATGGTTTAATAAAATATTCTCCTTGTAGAATCTTTGATAGTCTTAAGGCGTTGCCTAAGGACAAGTAGATCCTTATAGTAAATAAATCATCAAGGCTGTACTTTCAGGGATCATTTCTATAGTTCTTAAATAAATCATCTCCCTTTTATGTACACATCTCATTTTCAGCCTGAGTCTTTGTGTGTGTGTGTGTGTGCATGTGCGTGTGCATGTGTGCATGTGTGTGTGCTGATTTCTGACCAGCACATGCTATTTAACAACTAGCCCTTTGCTAACAGGGCAAACTTGGAGATCAGCTATGCTAAAGGACTTCAGAAACTGGCCACCAAGTTGAGCAAAGTGTTGCAGGGCACCAAGAAAAAGTAAGTATGATGGCAGAGGTAAGGTGAAATTATTCTTAAAAATAGTAAAAACGGACACATGGTCCATTCCAGCCTCTTCTTAAAAATGTAGCAGATACATATGACCAAGCAGAGCTTCCAGGTCTTGGGCACTTACTGTGTGTCCAGAGCTTTGTGGATCATGCTTTGCAGATTCTCTGCTTCAATCCTCAGGATAACCTCTGAGAGGTCTTTACTGTCATCCCTCTGTACAGATAGGGACCTGAGGTTTGGAATAGACAACACTCCCTGTCATGCAGGTGATGAGTTACAGGGCTGGGTTCGCCTTGGGTCCTATTAACCTCTAAGCCCCCATTTATAATTGACTGTGAGATGCCATTTAGCTAGGACAGTGGTGTTGTGAAGTCAGAAGGTCTTAGAGTCAGAAAGTGTGAATTCTGTGTTATCTCCACTCTCTGACATTTGACAAGTAATTTGGCCTCTCTGCTTGATTTCTTCTTCTATTAGATGGGATACTGATGTCTGGTCCATTGTGTGTGTGAGAGAGAGAGAGAAAAAGAAAGAGAGAGAGAGAGGGAATATGAGGGATGCATATTAAAGGAGATAATGTGTATAAAAAGCTTAGCACCTTGGGTAAAAAAAAATCGTTCACATTCTCAGTATTTAGCAGCAATAAGAATGAAGTACATCCCTTCCCTGGAGGAGAGAAGAAAGATGTAGGTATTCTAAAAGCATCTATTAGTGATAATTTGCTATGAAGGTTCTGGACTAATGTGTGCAGCTGTGACCCTGACTAGCAGTGCTCTGACAGAGGCCTTTTATGATGTTGACAGAAGGGGGAAGGGAGCTTCTGGAGCTCAGAGCCCAACTCCTGCTTAGATGTCACCGGTGATAGCAAATGATGGCTTTAAAATTGTCCTGACTTTTAGCTTTATTTTTATTTTTAGGACAGCCTTTTGGTAGACTACAAAGGAAGCAGTGCAGCACATGGCTGAGTATAGGTAGACTTTTGTTTAGACTTCCCAGTTTAAATTCTAGCTTTACCATTTACCAGGTGTGTGACATAGGACAAATTATCTTTCCTTTCAGTGTCTCTTTAAAATGGAAGTAAAGCCTAGCTGCTATGGTTGCAAGGTGGATTAAATGATAATAATGCAAATGTACTTAGTGGCATATCTGGTGTCCACATTGATGTTGATTCGATTGCTTAATTTCCTCCTAAAGAATAAGAGGTAGAGAGGTGGAGGGGTGTGTGTCTTACTGTGTCACAACCCCAGCACCCAGCATAGTACTGCCAGAGAGCTGTCCTGTCCTGGATGTTCTGTTAGGCAGCATTAGCCAATATTTAATGATAAGCATTCATTGAAATTTTCTCCATACCAAAATCTGTGTTAAGTGCTTGCACAGATATCCCAATTAATTTTTATTTTAAAACATCAGTTCAGTGAAGTTCAGAGAAGCTGAGTGATTCTTCCAAGGTCACACAGGAAACACACGAGGACCTGGGATTCTCAGAGGCCAGCACGCTGCATTTCCTGCCTGCTGCCAAGCTGCTCTAAGAAGCACATGAAGATGCTCTTCCCCATAATGTGCCTGACATCCTTTTTACAGAACCTTATTCACATTTAAGTATGTGGCTTGGTCAGTCTTGCCAGATCTGTAGGCTGTGCAATCACCACTGGAGCCCAAACAAATGTTTGCATCACCCCCAAAGATTCCTTGTCCTGTTTCCATTCCTTCCCTGGTATGGGAGAAGACGACATCACCCCCTGTCCCTCTGTGATCATGGGGTACCACCCACAGCATCAGAAGATGTTCTGAGGTGTTGTCCTGAAAGCCAGCCGGGAGCAGGAGATGACTCCCAACTCCAAGAACAGCAGGCTAGATGCAACCAGGGATCTGAGTCCTTAACTTCTTCAAGACTCAATTTATTTGTCACTGAACTGAGTCTGACAAGACTGTCTTTGAGGGCTTTCTAACACACTATCCTATCACACACCTGCTCGCATCCCAGGTGACTTTATTTCCCTGATTTCCTATAGGCATGAAATGGGAGATGAAAATCTAAATGAAACTGGCTGGGGAAGAAAGACAGCATATATAATGACTAGGGTGCAAAGAAATATATTGGCAGGATTTAATCTCATGGAGAAATTGAAATCAGGTTAGAGAACTGAGTGCAGTGGCTGCAGGAGTGCATCAGGCATGTGGCTTTATTTCTCAGAGTTCATTGGAAAATGACATCCTCCTTTCCCCCCTTGATTTTTGCCTCTAGCTGTCTCAGCAGTGCTTGGTTGTGGGCCTCGGAGGGCATGAAATCCACCGCGGAGCTGCATCAGTGAGTGTCCCCCTACCTGGCTCCAACCCCACAGGGAGTTGGAAATATTGAAAGTGGGTGGGAACAAATATTCCACTTCAAATTTGGGCTGAATAGATACACTGTAACGTACCATTTCATTTCCCCAGAAAGTAATTTAGGAAGTAGATGTAAACCCTAAGACAATGACTTTATGTCTTTATGTTCTATTTCCAGAAGACTTGGCAAAGCAATTGAGTTGGAAGCAATAAAACCAACTTATCAAGTCCTGAGTATGCAGGAGAAGAAGAGAAAATCAGTGAGTCAAAGCTTTTTTTTCTTTCCCTCTTAAAAGCAAGATTTCTGTCTGTGACCCAAGGAGGAAAAGATGATGTAAAAGTGATGTTAGGTCTCAGGAATTTATCATAAAAATAAAACCCACAAGGATGTTTGTTAGATCATTATTTATAATAGTGAAAAAGTGGCAAGTACATCATCATTCAAAATTAATGGTGACAGCTGGGCATCCATAGCGCACGCCTGTCAAACCAATACTGGGAAGCTGAAGCAGAAGGATCACAAGTTCAATCCCAGGCTGGGGACTTTAGGGACAGCAAGGTTAAAAAAAAAAAAAATCTGTCTCAAGATTAAAAAAAAAATTCAAAAAAGGGCTGGGGTTGTAGCTCAGTGTGAAGCCACTAGGTTTGATCTCTAGTACTGCAAAACAAGCAAAAATAAAGTCAACCAACAGAATATTATGTAACCATTACAAATCTTATTAGAAAAGGTCTGGAGATATAGCTCAGTGGTAGAGCCTCTGCTTAGCATATGCAAACCCCTAGGCTCATGCTGGCCAAACCTGGCTCAGTACCATGAAAACAAAAAATCTTTTTATAGAAGAATTTTATCACATGGCGATTTTTTTCACAATATAGTTAAATAAGCAGGATAAAAATATAATAAGCAACATAATCCTTCCATAATGTTAATAAGAATTACCTTGAGACAATGAAATGAGGTTATTTTTATTTTAATTTTTGTGCTTTATAATAATTATTCCATTTGTAAATAGAAAATTGATGAGTGATTTTTCTGGTAAAAGATGCTTTTCTAGGCTTATCAGCTTGGGATTATGTCTATGTAAATGACTCCCTAGTTACCTGGTCATCTTAGGGTGCACCCCTTAGTTTTCCTGTGTGACTCTCCTTTCAGAATGGTTTCATTTGTGCTCCTTTTCCCCTTTCTTTGTGTGTCACACAGTTGTTGGGCTCTCTGGACCATGTTTCCAGTCACTTCCCACCAGCTGCTACTGGATGCTGCTTGGCTGTGACAGGGGTGGTGTCAAGGTCACTGCCTGCTCAGATCACTGCCGGTGGGAAGTGTCTGTGTGCCAGGAGGTGGCCCCCAGAAGGGCAGAGACAGTGCCAGGGGCGTTTCAGATGACACAGGTCCTGAGGGTCTGTTTGTGTCAGGAGGATAAGGGTGTGAGAAAACTCTGATGGCAGAGAATGAGAAAGGCATTTAAAAATTCAAACTCATTCCACCGAATCTGAAAGGAGAATTGGTGTCAGATGCAGGCTCTGCCTAAGCCTGGGATGATGGATGGAGACAGAAATTGCTAGAAAGCAATATAGTCATGCGCCTTTGCTGGTTAGCTTAATAAAACCAAATATTAACCTCTATTTCATTAATTGCAACATATTTTTCATATAGTGTAGTAATACGATAATTATATTTGGTTCATATTTACATAAATTAGACACAATGCTATGGCAATTTATCACAGTGATTTAGACAGTTGATATCATGACCCCCCAAACTGCTGTTCCAGTTTATAATCTTTTCAGCACTGCCTTTGCCACTGTAATGCACCCCACCTCGCTGCCCTAATCTCTGACAAAAGATAAAAGGTTAACTTTTATTTTTAAAAGTGAACTTGCTCTAGATTCCAAGCACATGCATCGAGTAAACAATGGCGTGGTGCATAAAATTATTCTCATTGCATTGGATACAATAAACTATGTATCCTACATATAACCAATCCAGAAAATAAAAATATATTGTTTGCTGGATCTCAGGAAAGCTGAATAATGACTGATCTACTGAGTCTGTAGAACAAGAAAAAAGTTTTTGCCCTAACTTATATCTGATCACCTTGAATAGTTGCCTAGATCCATTTTTATCATTATTGTTAGTGTCCCTTAAAAAAAGTTAGCTATGATTAAGAATTCAATCTCTGTGAAATTAAAACAACAGTCATACTGTGGGCCAAGGAGACGTGTAGTAAAATGAGTACTTCAGGCACTGTTCACCGGTTCTCCTGGTGTGGATGTTTTTTGCCACATGAATTGATGTTGAAGTGGATGCTATGGAACCACCAGCGACACAGCCTATACAAGGGCTTCCTCCACACAGCTGCACATATGTATGTGCTTTTCGCATTCTTATAAATTATAAATCATTATTTTGATTTCCTTTTTTTTTTTTTGGTACCAGGGATCAAACTCAGAACCTTGTGCTTGCGAGGCAGGTGACAGAACCACTGAACTAAATCCCAGGCCCAGAAATCATTATTTTGACAAATCCCGTCAAAGAGATACTTGACATGGACATAAGATAGCTTGGCTACTTTCCTCAGGAAATGTTTACTGCAGGATTTTCAAACTCCAATGGATAGTGGGAGTGATCGTACCAGAATTACAAAATCAATACCATGGACTGTCTTAGTTTAGGGGAACTATAACAGAATAACATAAGCTGGATAACTTAGAAATAACAGAAATTGAGGGCCAGGGATTTAGCTCTGTGGCACCGTGCCTGCCTTGCAAAGCACAAGGTCCTGAGTTCGATCTCCAGTACCACGAAAACAAGAAATAACAGAAATTGATTTCTCGCCATTCTGTAGGGTGGGAAGTCCAAGATCTAAGCACCAGCAGATACAGTGTTCGGTGAGGGCTCTCTTCCTGCTGCATGGACAGCCATCTTCTCACTGGCCCTCACATGGTACAAGGGGCAAGGGACCATGCAGGGGCTCCTGTCTAAGGTGTGAATCCATGCATGAGGTCTCCACGCTCATGACTTAATCACCCAAGTCTCTATCTCCAAACACCATCACGTAGAGGGAATGTGTTTCCATCTATGAATTTTTTGGGGGGGATAAATATTTAGTCTATAATAAATAAAAAGAAAGAATACCTTTTTTTCTATTTTTCTTTTTAATAGCTTGATAATGAAGTTGAAAAGACAGCAAATCTTGTTATTAGCAACTGGAATCAGCAAATTAAGGTAAGTATTCACAAATACCATTTGCATAAACTCAGAGTTTAGGATTGAAGATTTTTACTTTTGCACAGATCTGATCATGTGCTTTAGTGTTAATACTCCTCAGTGCTAATTGAAGAGAACAATGTTTCCACACTGAATTATTACATATCTGAAAAAATACCTGAAAGCATAACTGAAAATGTGTCTGTTATTTGTGACTAACACTTACATGGCATGTATGATGTGCCAAGCACTGTGCATTTATATATTTAATCATTAGGAGAACCCAATATGATGTGTGACCTTGCATCGCCCCATTTTATAGAGGGGAAACTGAGGCACGGACAGTGTAAGCAATTTTCCCAAGAGGAAAGCTAGTGTTTTAATCAAGAATTCTTACAATTTCTTGGACTCGGGAGTCACTGCTCTTTTCCATTACACTGTACTGTCTTTCTGTGTAATTTGAAATCAGAGCCAATGACAAACGGACCTGAGTTGTGGCTTTTTATATGTAGAAGAGCATCAGTGATGTTGACCTCACTTGCTAGTGTGAGCACAGTGTGACAGGTCCAGAGAAAGGTGTATGTTGATTCCAAAAGTGTGCATGCCCCACCCTCTGTGCACAACACTATGCTAAGACATGATCCTTGTTTTCAAGTGATTTAAAATTTAGCTGGCTAGGTAGCATATGTGTAGGAAATAGTGAACAAACTCTAAGGAGAGGAATTAAGTTCTGGATTGAAAGGCTGGAGCATACTTTTATAGGTTCTTAAGCAGCAAAAAATAACAGATGGAACCCATATGTACAGAAGATTATTCTAGAATAATCTGGTATTAGAGGAATTCATTTCAAGTAGGAAGGATAAGAGGCTAGGAAATCTGCTTTAAAAAACCTCAGTAATCCCCTTGGACAGAACTTGTACCTAAGAGCTGAAGTTTCCTTTTGAATCTCCAAAGTGTTAGTGCCCGCAGAGAACCTTTGCAGATAACCGGAGATGCCCTCAGACACAGGTGACCTCAGGGTAACTCAGAAACTTCTGATGAAACTGAGAATTCCATAGGCCAAGGACATTAATAAGAAATATTTGAGGTAAATGAATTTCTACATCCAGTAGTTGTACTGGCAAAAGGAATTTCATGAGAATCACTTTATATTTATTTGTTATAAACATTTAAAAGCCTCAGAAAAATTCCAGTCATTTTTTTGTTGTGTGTGCGTGTGTGTATTTTTTACTTTTGCTCCTGATTTTCTGAGCTTTCTTAAAAAGGATTGTTTTTAAAAACCAATTTTCTTGCAAAATTCAGCATTCACAGGAAATTCAATACAGTGAACCAAAAGCCAAGAACAATGTTCACAATCTACGATTGCTTCCAAGAACAAAAGAAATCGTCTTTTATTATTTCCCAGCTTCTACCAAGTCATTTTTCTAAATAAAATGATTTTGTTTTTTATGAAGAGTGACAGAGAAATTGGAGAACATAAAATTCTTGAGCTATAATAATGCTCTCCCCAGTTTCAATGCAAGGGCTTGAGGGTGCCGATAGTGAAATACAGTCTATTTTGGAGACACAAATGCAAAGCCTTAAATGACCAAGTACTCTTCCCTCACTTGCTCATTTATCAGCAGGCATTTAACTGACTGAAAGTGGAGGAAAAGGGCTGTGGGGTGCTTGATCATAGAGTCTTCATTCTGAGTGAGACAGAAGCCTTTGCCTCTGATTCCCAAGGAGAGACCAGAGCTTTCCTCCTTTGCCATCCAGTCTTACAGTCCTTGCAGTCTTGAGGGGGAAAAGCCAGTCTCAATCAACCGAGTTTCTGAACAGACTGAATCCAACTTGACCTAAATCTGTCTGCATACTTTACCTCTGAAGCATCATCTTTCAGCCAAATTCAAGTGTGTAGAATAAGAAACCATCCTCTGAGTCCTAGCCCACACTGAGCTTTGAGGTATCCATATGGTGGCCAGACACAGAGAGCTTCCTCCTTCCCTACCTCTTCCCTCACAGCCAGCACCCCAGCAAGCACAGGGCCTTTCCTAACGTGCCAGGCAATCCCAGCTTTCAACCTGGGCATCAGAGAGGGACATCCCCACCTTTGCTGAACTTTTAAGAGAATATTTTAAAACAATCTCAACTGTGGCCAGTTTGATTGAAAAGGGCAGACTTCCATGACTGTTGCGAAAAAGCCAGTATGCTCTGTAGAACAATGTTGTGGAGGCCGGCAGGCCTTTGGTGATTTAGCAAAGCATATAATCCCCTTGAGTGTATCCAATACATCCATAAAGCAAGCATTGGTTCTCATGCAGTGTCCACTGCTGCGGTATTTTAGGCAGATTTTGAGGTGAGAGCAGGAACTAAGAACTAAAACTACATAGTCATTCAAGCACACAAACATGCCTTGTTCCAAAACAGAAGAGTTTTTCTCTTAATAATCAGTTTCTGCTCCCCTCCCAACCCTTGTTTGTGTGTTTTTGACTTTAGGCTAAGAAAAAATTAATGGTGAGTACCAAGAAGCATGAAGCCCTTTTCCATCTTATAGAAAGCTCCAAGGAATCTGTGACTAAGAAGGAGAAGCAGAAGGTAAGCTGGCATAGCACCTGGGATGTGTGGCTGGGAGACAGGTGGGCTTCCTGCCTTTACCTGGGGGCACTGAGAACTGGCTGTTCCTCGCTGGCAGTGGAGTCTCTGCAGAACTGTAGGCTGGCAGAAAATGAGAGGAATTCTAGATCATTCCTGCTCTACATATAGTTTTAGAAGGTATTATGAACAGAGGCCAAGGTGTCCGATTTTTTTTGTTGTTAGAAAACTCTATTAGTAGAAAAAAAATCTCGTCACATTACAAATAAATAAAAATTATGTGTACTTACATATGCTATTCTATAATATGTAGGAATTTATGTATGTTATGAACATTCTAAAACAAAGTAGAAACGTTTGCAGGATGAGGAGGCAAAGATGAAACAGTATTTAAAAGATTAGCTTATAGTGATGCCTTTATACAAAGAGTAATAATTATTAATCAAATGTATATGTAAAATAAACACTTGGAGCAAGGTTTAGCCTTTACCGCAATAAATATAAATTCATATTTCTAACAGTCCTTTTGATAATTTTGAATTTTTATTTTTATTTATTTTATTATTATTATTATTTTGGGGGGGTACTGGGGATTGAACTCAGGCAAGGTGAGGCAGGCGCCAGCACCACTGAGCTAAATCCCTGGTCCCTTGAATTTATTTTTTTTTTTTTTGGTACCGGGGATCGAACTCGGGTCCTTGTGCTTGCGCAGCAAGCGGCGAAACCACTGAGCTAAATCCCTGGCCCTTGAATTTTTAAATACTTAAAATTTCATCATTAACGTCTTGCCATGTCCCACTAGCTCATTCCATTACTGCTTTTTCACATGGTCGATGTTTGCTTATAATTAGGAACAGGAGAAAGCATCAGTGCTGATGTTGAGTTCACATTTGCATTATTAGTAGTAAAATCAGTCTACAGGATCGTGGCAGAAGTAGTTCTAAGACATGTGCATTCTGTGTATATTAGCTCAATTAAAGCTAGATAATGCCTCTGTAAATCCATGACCCAGGCACATGTCAAAAACCACATGTCCCAGACACTGGAAGTAGAGACTCTTGCAAGGGCCAAGGTGGCTTCTCATGTTGCCAAATCCTCTGCTCTTCCCAAAGCCACTTCAGAATCCACAACTGCTCATGTGTGGCACCACTGGCCTTCCTCTTGTGTATTAAATAAGAGCAAGCTTCAAAACTGTTCTTTGGCAAGCAAGAACACACATAATATTGGGGTGTGGGAGTAAAATCGAGTACTTTCTGGCTACACCCCAGTAGGCTACCTCATACACCTCTTGTGATTGATGTCTGGACTGGAAACTATGAAATACTCAATGCCTTCCCCAAAATATTGACAGGAAAGGCAGCCAGCACAGCTGCAGTCCCGAGCATTCTTAAAAAGAAAATGGTCATTGCAAGTGGCTCCATCATTTCATCTGGAGAATTGGTCAACTTAAATTCATCATTAGCAGGATTTCACAAGCTTCCTATTTCTTCATGTCAGCCTTCACAGTTTGAAAGGCTCACGGCAAGTGCTGAATAATGATCTGCCCCAAGGTGTGTCAAAGGCACCAGGACCTGTTCCAGGCCCTCTGGGCCCTCATTAGAAGCTGTTCTTTATGACTGCCAAGCAATCATGAAGGAAAAGCTTGCCCCCCCTGAGTGGTGACGTCCTCTTCCTTCCCTCATGAAAAGCTTGCCTGAGAGGTTGAAGTCCACGGCCTTCTCTGCTCTCCTGAAACGTCCTCCAACCATGTCTTTTGGGTGGTTTTATGTCACAGACCCCTCTCATCATCACTGCTTCATCTGGTAGCTGTTGTTTTAGTTGTAAAGCTGAAAACCTAAGGCAGCACTCATGTCTCCCCCATACAGAAGCAGCCTTGGCTGCTCCTCCGTGCTGTTAGCAATTCTTCCCATGTTCCTGCTCAGCAGTCCTTGTTCCCACTGGAAGCTGCTCTAAGCCTTCACGCTCTTCCACTCCATCCTCATCATCCTCTCCCAGCAGCCTATCCTGCTTCCTGCCTCACAGAGCAAACCGGAAGTCACCAGACCACCTGCCTGGGCTGGGGTGGGGGGGGGAGCCCCACCCCCCCACCTCTTACAGACCCTCTCCTGGCTGTCCCTCTCTCCTGGATCTTGGACATCTCCCTCTCCAACGGTTCATTTCTAGCAGGCTTCTCACCTCTCCCATCTTAATCTGCTCGGGGTGCTTTAACTAATACCACAGCCTGGACATCTTAAACAATAGGCAAATTATTCCTCACATTTCTGCAGGCTGGAAGTCCAAGCCCAGTATCCCAGTTGGGTTCCAGTGAGGACCATCGCCCAGGCTGCAGACTGCAATGCTCTAATTATATCCTCCCATGGCAGAAAGAGGGCAAGAGGAACCTCTCCGGGGTTCCTTTTACAGTGGCACAAATCCTATTCATGAGGGCTCTACTTTCAACACCGAGTCACCTCCCAAAGGTCTCATCTCCCAACACCTTGGGCATTCCAATTGCAGCCTACGAGTTATGGAGCACACAGACATTCAGACTATGACATCTAAACACAAACCATAACACCATCTCTATTTAATTCACCAATGTGTTTCCACATCCAGTATAATACTCTGCATCTCAGGTAGTCAATAAATTACTCTTAATGCTCCGACTACCAAATCTATGGGAACAACACCCAGTCTGGCACCTCCAACCCATACCAGTCTCCAAACTGCCTCTGGCACCTCCAGAATCAGACTGGCCACTTCTTTCTACCAAAGATACTCACTATCCCTGTGTTTCCTAGATCCTTGAATACTACCACCTGCTCTATCCTCCCAGTTCTAATCCCTAAACCCAGTATTTTTTGAACTTCTTCATTTCTACCTGTCTCCCTGCCATGCTGTCTCCTGGGACACTGTCAGTGTTTGTCTGGATTACTGCAACAAAGAAACCAGTGTCTCTGCCTTCGGTGTGGCTCTTCCTCTCTATTCCCCATGGATAGGTGAACCTGGCATTCCTGAAACTTGAATCTGAGGTTATCATTCTCCCATTAAAAGACTTCAAAGGTTTTCCAGTGACCTCAGACTACAGTACACCCTCTCTTATATGGCTTTTAAGACCCTCCTTGGGCAGAAGGACCTCCGACCCCCTAATCTTTGGATCCATCATGAAGAAATGGAGATGAAAAATATTGAGAAGCCCTCAGGCACTGACCCTACAGGAAGGGACTCCCTGATCCAAAGTTGCCAAGACCTCACTCCGCTCAGTCACAGCCAGTCAGAAACCCAACTGGGGAGCAAAAGCATCTCTCATTCTGGTCAAGACACTGAGGAAGCAGGGAGCTCCATGTCCACACTGGAGAGGTCATTGGCTGCACGCAGGGCCACTTGGGCTAAGCTCATGATTCCCATGGAGGCCCAGTCCAACAATCCAGTTGTTGTGAGTGCCATCCCAGTGCCAACCCTAGAAAGTGCCCCGGAATCCTCCCATCTCCTACCTATGGATACCCCCACCCACAGTTCACCTTCCGGCCTGTACCATTCCCAACATTGTCAGTGCACTGAGTTTCGGATCAGGAAGAAGTCAGTCAGTGAGTGAAGGACCAACCACCCAACAAGCACCCATGCTGCCCCCAGCCCAGCCTGAGCATCCCAGCAGTGAGGAGGCACCAAGCAGAACCATCCCCATGGCATGTGTTTGACCAACTCATCCACTCCACAGCTTTGCTAACCCTTTGCTACCTCCACCAATGAGTTCAATAGAACCAAAAGTCCCTTATACACCACTTTTGTCTCAGCCAGGACCCACTCTTCCCAAGTCTCATGTTAAAACAGCTTCCCTCGGGCTGGCTGGAAAAGCGAGATCCCCTCTGCTTCCCATGTCTGTGCCAACAGCCCCTGAAGTGTCTGAGGAGAGCCACAAACCAACAGAGGATGCAGCCAACGTGTATGAACAGGATGATTTGAGTGAACAAATGGCAAGTTCGGAAGGGCTAATGAAGCAACTTAATGCCATCACGGGCTTGGCCTTTTAATGTATATTGCTGAATTTATGAAGCAAATTTTCTGGGAGCTTTGCAGCACACCAATCACCCATAAACAGCATGCTTGTGTCCAAGAACTCTAACCAGTGTACAGGTCATCATTAGGACCATACAGTGAAGGAAGATCCTGAAGCAGTTCAGAAGGAGTACACATCCCCTCCTTCATAGGCATCAGGAATCATGAATGGAAACTATGAGGTCGCTAAACAGAAGCAAGATACATCTTCCCTGCAAAGTCAAAGCTGAAGCTGCTAGAATAGCCCTGGGTCTTTGCACCTGCAGAGACCACACTGTTGTAACTAATGCCAGTGTTTTCTTTCATCAAGGACTGTCATTTTATGTGAAGGTCTAGTCTTACAAAATGCAAGTGCGTTCTTTAAGCCTGTACCATGCCATGGCAAATCAGTGCAAGCTTACTATTTTGTTTTCCACTTTAAAGTGCAAAGCACCCATGGAAATTCTCTCACTCCATAGCACCAAAAGATTGGATGTTTTCCCGCAGAGCACAAAAAGTAAATAAATAAACAAAAGACAGCAAAAAAAAAAAAAAAAAAAAAAAAAAAAGAAAAAAAAAAAAAAAAAAAGACCCTCCTTGGCCTGACCTATGTCTAGAACTTCAGCAGCAGCATCTCTTCTCTCTCTCTCTCTCTCTCTCTCTCTGTTTGATCTCTCTCAAACTGTGTTTCAATCCCACCAGTATTTCTTGTCATGCTTTTATATTTTGCCACATCAATTCTTACTTTCATTTTAGGTTTATTTACACATGGATCTTTTTTTTTCTTTCACTACCTACTCCACGCAAAGTGACAACTTAAATGTCATGTTCATTCTAAAACTAGTTTAGTTGGCTTTCTTGGTATCCTAGTGACATCTAAGCACATCAGTCATCCAGGATTCCTGGGACCCATCACACCATAGCAATGACCCATGTACCTCCCTAACTAAAGAAGGAACCTATTTTTTGTTCTCTTTGCTATTCCCAAA